CCTGATGTTTCAGCTCACAACATCCGAGGATGCCTGCCTTAGATGCAGGTGAAGTGTCAGGAGAGAATCCTCCTGGAACATGGCCATACACCCCAGAAAACGCACAACAACCCATATGGAAGCCTTCGACAATACAAAGTTGTTGTTGTTGTTGTTGTTGTTGTTGAACAGCAGTGAGGAGATAGCCTTGGGAAGCAATCAAATAGGAGTTGGCTGGCCATCAACGGGGTTGTTTTCTGCATGGCAGGAGGCTGCACTACAGACATCCTTTCCCGCTTTTCAATGGCCTGTCTTTTCAATCATTGTGATTTATATCCAGAAGGCGTTATACCAACTCCTGAGCTTCAAGCTCAGCGTTACCACCAACTCCTGAGCTTCAAGCAGCTATGCTGAGTCCAGGACCCCCAGATTGCAGACCTGTGTCCTCAGGGGGAGTGTAACCCTGTTGGACACAGGTTACCACCCTATACCCTGATTGGCCTCATGACTGGCCAGGAGGATGTCTGTCTTGTCTGGATTAAGCTTCAGCTTGTTACCCTTCAACCATTCCATCACAACAGCCAGGCTCTGCTCAGCTCTTACTGTCAGTAAGACACCTCCCCAATTTAGTAATGAATATTGAAACTTTTTTTTGTATATACCCAACATTATTTGTCCAAACGTATCTCCCTCTACATTCTGCCTGTTGCAGCTCAGAGTAACCTTCACCTTGCTTCCAAACACCACCACACAAGAGCTGTAGTTCTATAGTTTATTGAGGAAAAATCCAAGTCAAAATAAAGAATAAGCATTGCAAAGTTCCAAAGATTCAGGTAAAATGCAGAATACAGTTCCAAAGATCTTCAGGTAAAACAAAGTACAAGCAAAGACAATTGCCCCAAGAATCACAATGCAAGAAATCCCAAGCGTGCTGCTTGCCAGCTAAGGTAATCCATGAAGCTTTCAGGCTAATAAGCTACGTTGAACTGATGCTTTCCCTTAGTTTGCAAGAAGCCTAAATACCTTTCTAACATGAAAACATTATGCTCTCACCAACATGAAAGCATTGCAATGACCTTGGCCCGAGTTGGTTTCCCATCTGCCGGCCAGCTGAGAACTCCGCCTGACCCACAAATCAAGATGAGCCTGCCGGGTCAGGTCACTATCAAGGCTTTCTGCACTTTCAGTATCAGCGTGGGAAGGAGGCAAAAGCCTCCCCACCTGTTCGCTATCTCCTTCGTTAAAATTCTTTTCTTCTGAGAACCGCTGTGTTGTTGACTCTCCACTGTCTGTGGAAGCCTCAGAAAAAGACCTAGAAGCAGGCCCAGGGATCTGAGGCACAGAAAAAGAGCCGGGAATCTGAATCCCATCATCCTTATAATCAGGGAACATCTCAGCCACAACACCGCCTCGCAGTTTAAGATCCACCGGGGAGGCCCTGCTCTCGGTCCCACCAGCCTCGCAAACGCGTCTGGTGGGTACGAGGGACAGGGCCTTCTTGGTGGTGACCCCCCCCAGCTTGTGGAACTCGCTCCCCAGCGAGATTAGATTGGCGTCCTCCCTCCTTTCCTTTAGGAAATAACTGAAATTGTGGTTGTGGAACCAGGCCTTTGGCTAGCAGGCATAACAGCACTTGGGACACTGAACTGGACCAGATGATTATTATAATAAGGAAACAGCTATATGATTGTATAACTAATGTTATGTTTTTAATTTATTGTATATTTATGGTTTTTATATTGTTCATTGAGATATTGTGGCATCGAATTGTTGCCAGTGTTAGCCTCTCTGAGTCCCCTCTTGGGGGTTGAGAAGGGCGGGGTAGAAATGTTGTAAATAATAAATAAATAATTATCTGAGTGTTGCGGATGGGCAGCAATCCCCCTGCGTTCATTCCTTCTTTCTTTCATTCTTTCTTTTCCTTCCCTCCCCTTTCCTTCCTTCCTTCCCTTCTTTTTCTTTCTTCCTCTCCCCTCCCTCCTTCTTCCATTTCCTTTCCTTTCCCCCTTATTTTTCTCTTTCTTTCTTTCTTTCCTTTCCTTTCCTTTTCTTCCCTTCCCTTTCCTTTCCTTTCCTTCCCCTCCCCTTTCTCCAGTTCTGAGAGGGTCTCCATATCAACATGGCTCTCTTTGTGTCTCTTTCCTTCCTCTCTCCCATACATACACAGATTACCTTTCTTCTAGATGGCATCACAGAGGTCCTGTCCTTCACAAAGCTGGGTGAACAAACACTGGCAGACAGACGTTGACTTTTATAGATAAAGATATAGCTATAGATACATAGATAAATATATATCAGACAGGAGCAGCAGTAAGAACAGTGTGTGGTAACTCTTTCTGCATTCACAAGCCATAGTGCACTTCATTTTGCAACATCCCTGCTCCTCTTCAGACCTCCAAGATACAACACCTTTCCGAAGTTCCAACATTGGTTTTGAGCTGCGTCCTTTTCTTGTAAAAATTGTCAGTGTTTCCACTCAAAAGTCACCTTCAGAGGCAAATGACCAAACTCAAGCACCTGCCAGTAATTGTTGTTGTATTATGACCTTATTTCCTGGTTTTGTGTGAAGCCAGGAAATTAGGCCATGCCTTAGACTTGTCCTGTGTTTATTTGAAATCTGGAAGAGAGTTGCCATTGAAACGGGAGAATGCAAGGGAGGGACCAGGGTGAGGCGTGGGGGGAAATAAACTGTCAGTTGGAACTTTGTTGCTTTCCCAAATGCATGCTTTTGAATTAAAGCCTTCCAACTTTGTTTGTGAGGTAATTTCTTCATCAGAAACCTACAGATCTGGACAGTTTGGCAGTGGAATAGTCTGCTGCCTGGGAGCCGGTGGAGTCTCCTCCCTCCTTTGGGGACATATAAGCAGAGCCGTCTGTCAGAAGGGCTTGGATGGTGTCTTCACGCCTGGCAGAATGGGGATGGATTGGGTGGCCCTCAGGGTCGCTTCCAATTCTAGGATTCCCATTTGAACAAACCTTGCCTGTTCTTCCAACTTGGTCTGTGAGTTGACACCGTGTTTATTCTGATGCATTTAATAGATACAAAGTGGAAATCACAGAGAATATGATTTATACAAACAACTACATAACATTGTTTCTTCCATTTCCTTTGTTGGTTTTTTAAAAATATGTAACTTTTACTCCCAAATCATCTCAGGAGCTCCACCTTCAGGGCATTATTATTATTATTATTATTATTATTATTATTATTGACACAAAACACAGTATGTCACAGCAAATGAGATCTATATGCTGGATTTCGTATCCCAAAATCACGAGTCGAACACTTCCCAAGTGTCTAGGACTGTGTGATGTATTTTCGAATGATGTGTGCAGATACAAGTAAGCTGGCCTCTTGCAGTTGACAGATCGTGATTTGATCAATGTTTATTGTTTCCAAATGCCGGCTGAGATCTTTTGGCACAGCACCCAGTGTGCCCATTACCACTGGGACCTCCTGTACTGGTTTATGCCAGAGCCTTTGCAATTCAATTTTGAGGTCCTGATCACGGCTCAGTTTTTCCTGTTGTTTTTCCTCAATGCAACTGTCACCCGGTATGGAGACATCAATAATCCAAACTTTTTTCTTTTCCACAATCTTAGCACTATGGAGAAGAAAACCAAAATGAAGTCTATACTGGCTCGGTCATCGTCCAGGATAAAAAGGACAGTGGTGGATGCTGTTGATTCTGGACATCCATTGACAAGTGAGCTACAGAATCAAAATACAAATGCACAATCACAGAAGCGGCAGAAATATAAAATGCCAGAAAACTGCACAATTATTATTATTATTATTATTATTATTATTATTATTATTATTATCTGGTTTCTTTGTTAATGGTACTGGCAGTGTTACGTGGGGTTGCCTCTGAAGACAGCCCGGAAGCTGCAGCAAGTACAACGTGCGGCAGCCAGATTACTAACGGGTGCTGGGTACAGGGAGCACACCACTCCGCTGTTACTCGAACTCCACTGGCTGCCGATTAGCTTCCGAGCGCAATTCAAAGTGCTGGGGTTAACCTATAAAGCCCTAAACGACTCCGGCCCTGTTTACCTCTCCAAACGTATTCTCCCCTACGAACCATCAAGACCACTAAGATCGTCTGGAGGGGCCCTGCTCTCGGTCCCACCGCCTGCACAAGCACGGCTGGTGGGAACGAGGGACAGGGCCTTCTCGATGGTGGCCCCTCGACTTTGGAACTCCCTGCCATTAGAGATCAGAACTGCCCCCTCCCTCATGACGTTCAGGAAACTAAGAAAGACCTGGTTGTGGAACGTGGCATTTGACAACTGATTTAATTCTTTGCCCACATGAAAGGAGGATGATGAATGGGATTGTGATGGTGTTGGACGATTTGGCTCTTTTAACTGTGATGATAATGTTTTAATGTGTATGGTGCTGATATTTTAATCGTGTAATGAAGTGGCATTGTGTTGTTATTGTATATTCTTTGTATGTTAACACATGTTGTGAACCGGTCCGAATCCCTCTTTGAAGGTGAGAGGGTCGGTATATAAATCCTCGAAATAAATAAATAATTATATGTGTTGTCAAAGCTCTCGACCCCACCGCTATCACAAGTGAGGTTGGTGGGGACGAGGAGCAGGGCCTTCTCGGTGGTGGCCCCTCACCTGTGGAACTCACTCCCGGGGGAAATTAGGGCATCAACATCCCTCCTCTCCTTCAGGAGGAAAGTAAAGACGTTCAACTAGAAGGACAATCAAACGACTAGGACTGACAGGACTGACCATGTGGAATTGGAATTTGGACTATGAGATAGCAAACGCTGACCGGCTATGAGGAGTAATTAGGTTTGTATTGTTTTATTGGTTTTATTGGTTTTAGGGTTGTAATGCAGGAAGTGTTGTTTAACTGTTCAACTGTTTAATTGATGTTATTTTGTTGTACTACTGTTATGTGATGCTGGTATCGAATTGTGCCTTTGTAAGCCGCCCTGAGTCCCCTTCGGGGTGAGAAGGGCGGGGTAGAAGAAACCCAAATAAATAAATAAATAAATAAATAAAGGCTTTCATGGCCACAATCCCTGGTTCGTTGTGAGTTTTCCGAGCTATATGCTGTCACAAGACCTCACCACCTCTGAGGATGCCTGCCATAGATGCAGGCGAAACGTCAGGAGAGGATGCTTCTGAAACATGGCCATACAGCCTGGAAAACACACAACAACCCAGTGTTAAGATAAACTCACCTGCTCCTTGTAGAAATGGCCTTTGTCATTATAATGTTTTGAAGCTTTGAAATGCTGCTCTTTGCCCGGAAAGGAGGAGAAGTTTAGGAGTGCAGATAAGAGAGAGATGGCCATTGTTCTCTTTATGTGGGCAGGCTTTTCCTTTTCTTTTCTTAATAAGGCGTCCAAAACAGAGAAATGTCCTGCATCACAATGACTTATACTGCCTGAAGTGTAGACGTTGGATCACGTCCCCACAATCATTGAAAGCCTTCTGAACGTTTTCTGCATCCACTGCACATGTAAAGTGAGTATAGTAGCTGTGCTTGTCAAAATAACACATTCTAAGGAATTCATCTCTGATAAAATACTTTGCTTTTGTAACTCGACAATCCTCACCAGGCTCCGGCATTGCATCCTCAGGTATGGTATAGTGAGCAAAGTCGGGAAAGTAGTCTTCCAGTTTATATTTCCCTGCCAAGATTTTCTCTGCTAGCAAATCCTGTTTGTTCAGGAAAACAATGAAAGTCATGGTCTGTAGCCGCGGATTGAAAAGCATCCTCAACTGTCTGTTGTACAAGACAGATTGGAATACCTCCAATTGCTCCTGAAGCTTGATAACCTTGTCACTCCAATGCAAAGTCTGTAAGTTGTAGCTACTGCTGTCCACCATGAAGAGAACAGCAGTCAAATTATCAAAAAAATGCATCCAATTTGGGCGACTATCAATATATCTCTGAATGTAAAGATGCAAATATACTTTGTCCAATTGAAACTTGGTATCAACGATCCCGGATGTCTGAAATTTGCATCGGAGAAGATCCTGGTCGGACGGCGTATATTCCTCTTGTTTGACAATGTCCAGCTTGTCTAGAAAATACTGTGCACAACCAATCAAGTGATACTCGTGCGAACGCTCAAAGCAAGCTTTCACCCCTTCGTCCTGCCAAAGTGCTTTCGTATGTTCATAGAACTCGGTTGGGAAGTCAAAATCTGGCTGGTTGGATACATTCAAAATATAGTCAATGTGGAACTGGTTCTCTGGGTTCGCCAGTTCCACTGGAGGTTCCAGGCACCCCATGGCTCTGACTATTGTCTCTATAGCTTCCCTAACATTGTTTTTAATGTCCTGGGTTCTCATTTTCCTCTCCTCGGCACTAAATCCGTCCCCATGCAAGATTTTCATTTGTTTGAGCACGGTGTTTTTACCAGATTCCCCATGGCCAATCAAGACGAGCTGGTGAGTGGCCTTAAAGACTTCCTTATCCATCTTCAGTTGCTTCTCGACCTTCTTGTGGGTTTTTCTCCGCTCCTTCTCTTCCTTGCGCTCCTCCTCAGTCTTTCTGTTCCCGAAGCAGCCCATTTTGTGTGGCACAATGGAGATATAGAGAGGATGAAAGGGAAAGAGGACTGCAGCTAATGGGAGAAAGGAGCAGGTAGCCAAGCTGGAGCAAGAGGGACAGAGGCTGACAGAGAGAGAGAGAGAGAGAGAGAGAGAGAGAGAGAGAGGAGGGAGAGATGGAGAGTGGGAAAGGGAGTGTCCCTGTCTCTCTCCTTCTCTTCCTCTTCATTCTATCCTTTTACTGACTCACTGCCCAGAGACAAGGAGGGGGGAAAGAGGGGGGGACCAAAGGAAGGAGCAGACAGGGAGGGAGGGAGATAAGGATGACTTTGCAGCTACAGCTCAAGCTGAGTCACTGATTTGATTTCAAAACAAGCCAAATTGAGTTTGCAAGCCTTATTCAATGAAAGTGTGTTCCTGTGAGCCCCCCTCGATGGAGGCTTGCGTGTTCCAATGAACCTGCAGGCACAAGGACTGGAGTCACGCACTCCCAGGAGTGGCCGCGGGGGAGGTTCCAGACCAAGCGCAGTCTGAATACCCAAAGACCTCACCGCCGAAGCAGGCGGAGGATACCATGGTACATGTTACAATGGCTGTGAAGTCAGAAGAAGACTGCAACAGATTGAGAAGCCACGGTCGTCGTGTTAACTATGCCACCAGTGGAACCTCACTCTATGAAGACTGTGTGTTGATCAGCTGTGCACCAACCTCTACATATTAAAAAAACAACTCATGCACAGGTGTCTTCCAAGAAAAATAAAAACAAAGCAACAAAGAAAAAGAAGAAGGAGAAGGAGAAGGAGAAGGAGAAGGAGAAGGAGAAGGAGAAGGAGAAGAAGTTTGTTTTTCTACCCTGCCTCCATTCTCCTAAAGGGACTCGGGGCGGCTTACATAGAGCCGGGATCACAGCAAAATATAATTAAAAACAAAACAATAACCAGTTAAAATAGCATAAAAGCGCATAAGTAATAATAAACAAGCATCAAAAGCAACAACAGACTAATTTTGGAGGAGGGGGAAGAGGCAACTATGCGAACTGGTTAAAGGATAGGGAGGATAGAGACATATAGTAGCATAGGAAATAACATGGGAACAGAGCAATTAAACAGGATCAGTTCGGCTTAACTTCAATATATATATAGAAATGTAATATAGGAGTTCATATTCAGGTTATGACTCAGGTCATGATACAATCATTTCTCAGAGGGGTCGTCAGTTGAATGCACAGCAAAACATCCATGTCTTTAGTTCCTTATGGAATGTGGGTAGGGAGGGTGCCAGCCTAATTTCCCTGGAGAGGGAGTTCCAGAGATGAAGGGCCACCACCGACAATGCCCTTCCCCTCGTCCTCAACAACCATGCCTGAGACAGGGGTGGGAGCAAGAGAAGAGCATCCCCGAAAGATCTTAAGGAGTGTGTGGGCTCGTGGGGGAGGATGCAGTTGTGAACATAGGCAGGTTTAGGGCTTTAGAGGTAATAACCTGCACATTGAATTGGGACTGGAAATTATCGGCAGCCAGTGGAACTGTTTAAACAGGGGGGTTGACTGCTCTCTGTAACTTGCTCCAGTTAACAATCTGGCCGCCAACCTTTGCACCAGCTGTAGTTTCCGAACCATCTTCAAGGGCCGTCCTACATAGAGTGCATTACAGTAGTCCAATCTTGAGGTAGCTAAGGTGTGGACCACCATGGTCAAGTCAGACTTCTCAAGGTACAGTTGCAGCTGGCGCACAAGTTTTAACTGTGCAAAGGCCCTCCCGGCCACCACTGACACCTGAGCATCAAGCGTCAGCACTAAGTCCAGGAGAACCCCCAAACTGCGCACCTGTGTCTTCAAGGAGAGTGTAACCCCATCAAACACAGGTTGCCACTCTATACCCCGTTCAACCAAACTACTGACCTGGAGGACCTCTGCCTTGTCAGGATTCACTTTCAGCCTGTTAGCCCTCATCCAGCCCATCACAACGTCCAGGCACTGGTCCAGGACCCGAGGGGCTTCCTTGAATTTTTGTGGAAAGGAGTAAAAGAGTTGCGTGTCATCTGCGTAAAGATGATAATGAACTCGCTACCAACATCATCTCGCTACCATACTAGTGTCCAGTGGTGTGATATTTCAAACAATCCTTCACAGTGGTGTTTGGCTGTGGGATATATTACAGTATCTACTTTGTACTGGAAGAATACTTGGTGTTATATTATACTATTATACATACTATTATTACAGTGGTGTCCAGCAGCTTGATTGATTAATATCCTTTATATTGGTGGCCACCTGGTGAGATTTATATTAGTATATATATATCGTGATTCCTTTATAGTTGGCCACAGCAACACGTGGTGGGTACAGCTAGTGACAACAATATTAATGTTTATTTATAATGCCCTTTCCCCAAAGGGTGGAACATCGCACCTACACCATCAAAGAGAATAAAACTATCTGACCGCATCTCGGCCTATGTACCCACCAGGACTTTGAGATCTTCCGGGGAGGCCCTGCTCTCGATCCCGCCAGCTTCACAAGCACGGCTGGCGGGGACGAGAGATAGGGCCTTCTCGGTGGTGGCTCCCCGGCTGTGGAACGCCCTTCCCACGGACATTAGATTAGCATCATCTCTGGTGGTATTCCGCAAAAAAGTAAAGACCTGGTTGTTTGTGCAGGTGTTCGAGTAGTTAGTGCAATGATTGGTAATGACATAGGAATGGAACAATGGATGACGGATCTGGATTCTGTTTTTAGTGATGAGACGTTAGTGAATGTTTATTATAGTAATTGTGTACTAACTGTGTATTAGATATGTTGTTAACTGTTTTTATATTGGTGCATTGAATTTTGCTGTTTCCTATGTGCTGTGAACCGCTGTGAGTCACCTTCGGGCTGAGAACAGCGGTATAGAAGTAAAGTAAAGTAAATAAATAAATAAATAAATAAATAAATAAAACCAAATACTACAGGTATACATAAAATGCCCAATATCCCACTAGCCTTGGGTCAATGTGAGGACTGTATCTTAATACCTACTAAAAAAAAAAAGGAATGATCTGCTTTTCTGAAAAGAGTGGCAAAAGGCAGGAGCTCAGTCCTTTGGCAAAATCACAGCAGGTGTTGAGTAGATCATTGCTGGTTATAGATCAAAATGATTGAAAAGACAGGTCATCTAAAAGCAGGAAGTCATGCCTGTAGTGCGGCCTCCTGCCATGCAGAAAACATCCCAAAAGTGCTTCCAGTTGATGGCCAGCCAATCTCTCTTTGATTACCTCCAAGGCCATCTGCTCACTGCTATTCACCTCTTACCCTCAATACGTTCCTTCTAAGGTTTAGGTGGAATTTCTTTTCCCATAAACTAAATCCACCCATTTTTGTTCTAGGATTTCTCCATCGTCTCCAATCCTTTGGGGAGGCCCTTCTTTCACCTCTTCCTCTATCATAGGGAAGACTTGTGGGAACAAGTGAGAAAGCCTTCTCAGCTGTAGCTCCCCGACTTTGGAACTCACTACCTGGTGAGATTAGGCAAGCCCCCACCTTAGTAGACTTCTAAAAAAATCTGAAAACTTGGCTCTTCTGAGTGCCTTCAGAGAGTGACCATTTATCCCATTTCTGTCTGCTCCATCTATAGTGTTGTCCTTATGATGCACTTTCCCCCGTCCTAAACTGAAAGCCTACCTCACTCACTGTTTATCCTTTTTGGACTCCCCTTAATTACATTTTTTTTGTCCCACCTCATCCAGGTTTTCATCATTTTACCTCATCCATTTGGCTCGCCCATTCTGTTCGATTTTATATTGTGTTAACTTGCTTTATTTATTTAATTTTGCTACTGTACGTATTTTATTCTAATGTAATTTTGTTGTCTGCTTTTTGTATTTTATTCTGCTGTATTGTTGGGCTTCACCTTTTGTTAGCCACCCCGAGTTCCCTTTGGGGAGATGGTGGCGGGGTATAAATAAAGTTTATTGTTATTTATTATTATCTTCTACATGATATTGCATCAGGAATTATAAAATGGCAATCATGTCCCCTCTCAGCCTAAACACATCCAGTTAAAGACATTCAGCTTCTTCAGCCATTCCTCGTAAGGCTTGGTTTCCAGACCTTTGGTCATTTTGGTGGCCCTTCTCTAGTTCTGGCCCAACTTACCTGTTCGAATGTGTCTACCCTTATGAACCATCGAGGACTCTAAGATCATCTGGGAAGGCCCTGTTCTCGGTCCTGCCTTTGTCTCAAGTACGTTTGGCGGGGACGAGAGACAGGGCCTTCTCAGTGGTGGCCCCTCAGCTATGGAACACCCTCCCTAGGGAGATTAGATCTGCTCCCTCCCTCTTAACGTTTCGGAGGCAAGTTAAAACATGGCTGTTTGAGCAAGCGTTTACAAATGCAGAGTAGCTAATGTAGGAAACTGAACGATTTGACAATGGAACTGGACAATGCTTGATAATAATGAGACGCTAATGATGTTGCTTTTATTGCTTTTGTGGTGTTTTATATTGTTTAATGTTTTAATCTGTATTATGTTTTTATATGCACTGATTTGTTGGAAATCGCTTTGAGTAGCCGATTGGCTGAGAAAGGCGGTATACAAATACAGTAAATAAATAAATAAATAACCTTCCAGCTTGTCCCTATCCCTCTTGAATTGTGATGCCAGGAACTGGATAAATGGCTATTCCCGGTGAGGTCAGACCAACGCAGAATGGAATGAGATATATCATTTGTCTGTATCCGGACACTATATATAGCTGTTGGCTTTTTAGGCTGCTATATGATATGGTTGAAAGATGCAAACAGAATTCTACACTCATAAGGACACACTCTCATACAATAAGGCTTGCAAATTCAATTTGGCTTGTTTTTTCATCGAATAAGTAACTCAGTTTGAGATGCAGCTGCAAAGTCATCACTCTCTCTCTCTGCTCCTTCCTTTGGTCCCTTCTCTTTCGCTCCTCCTTGTCTTTGGGTCAGTAAAAGGCCAAAATGAAGAGGAAGAGAAGGATAGAGACAGAGACACTCCCTCTCCCAGTCTCCCTCCCTTCCTCCCTCCTCTCTGCCTCTCTTTCTGCCTCTGTCCCTCTTTCTCCAGCTTGGCTTCATTGCTCCTTCCTCCCATTAGCTGAAGCCCTCCTTCCCTTCCTTCCTCTCAAAATCTCCATTCCGCAAACCAAAATGGGCTGCTTCGGGAACAGAAAGACTGAGGACAAACACAAGGAAGAGAAGGAGCAGAGAGAGGCCCATGAAAAGATTGAGAAGCAACTGAAGATGGACAAGCAAGTCTTTAGGGTCACACTCCGTCTCCTCGTGATGGGCCTTGAGGGATCTGGCAAAAACACCATGCTCAAACAAATGAAAATCTTGCATGGGGACGGATTTAGTGCCGAGGAGAAGAAAATGAGAATCCAGGACATTAAAAACAATATTAGGGAAGCTATAGAGACAATAGTCAGAGCCATGGGGCGCCTGGAGCCTCCAGTGGAGCTGGCAAACCCTGAGAACCAGTTCCGCATTGACTATATTTTGAATGTATCCAGCCAGCCAGATTTCGACTTCCCACCCGAGTTCTACGAACATACGAAAGCACTTTGGCAGGACGAAGGCATGAAAGCTTGCTTTGAGCGTTCACATGAGTATTGCTTGATTGGTTGTGCACAGTATTTTCTAGACAAGCTGGACATCGTCAAGCAAGAGGAATATATGCCATCGGACCAGGATCTTCTCCGATGCAAATTTTGGACATCCGGGATCCCTGAAACCAAGTTTCAAGTGGACAAAATATATTTGCATCTGTTTATTTTTGATGGGAGACGGGATCGCCGAAAGTGGGTACATCATTTTGATAATTTGACGGCTATTCTCTTCATGGTGGACAGCAGTAGCTACAACTTAGCGGATAATACAGGGAACAATGAGAGAAAGATGCTTCAGGATGAATTATGCGCATTCCATAGTATCTCGTGCGACAGAGAGTTGAGGAAGCTTTTCATTCTGCGGCTACAGACCATGGCGTTCATTGTTTTCCTGAACAAACAGGATTTGCTAGCAGAGAAGATCTTGGCAGGGAAATATAAACTGGAAGACTACTTTCCACACTTTGCTCACTATACCACACCCGAGGATGCAATGCCGGAGCCTGGTGAGGATTGTCGCGTTACAAGAGCCAAATATTTTATCAGAGATGAATTTCTTAATAGATGTGATTTAGATAACCAGTACTGCTATGCTCACTTTACATGTGCTATGGATGTGGAAAATGTTCAGAAGGTTTTTAATGATTGTGGGAATGTGATTCTACGAATACACACTGGCTATTGTAAGCTGTTGTGATGGAAGACAACATCTGTTTTGGACCCCTTATTAAGGGGGGAAAGCCTGCCAACCTAAAGAGAACAATGGCAATCTCCCTCTTATTTGCAGTCCTGAACTTTTCCTCTTTCCTGGATAAAAAGCAGCATTTCAGAGCGTCAAACTATTGTAATGTCAAAGGCCATTTCTAAAAAATGTTTATCTAAACACTGGGTTGTTGTGTCTTATTCCACAAGCATTCTCTCCTGACATTTCGCCTGCATCTATGGCAGGCATCCTCAGAGGTTGTGAGGTCTTGTGACAGCATACAGCCCAGAAAACTCACAACATATCAGTGATTCCAGCTATGAAAGCCATCAACAAGACATATCATAACACTGTCATTGACAAAGTAACCAAATAATCTATATAAATAAAAATGTAATGTTAGTTTGTGGGCTTAACATAACTCAAAAACCACTGGGTGAATTGACACCAAATTTGGACCCAATACACCTATCAGGCCAACAAGTGGCCATCACTCATAAAAACACTGAAAAACACAGCAGAAGAGACGTTAAAAGAAAAAAAATACATTACAATGCATGCACAAAACCACACACACATATATATGCAAACTCACATATATACACATATACACAAATATACACACACAAAGCACATATACACAGACTGGGCCACAGCAACGCATGGCAAGGGATGGCTAGTTATATAAATAAAAATGTAATGTTTGTTTGTTTGTGGGATTAACATAACTCAAAAACTACTGGACAAATTGACACGAAATTTGAACACAATACACCTATCAGGCCAACAAGTGACCATCACTCATAAAAACACAGCCAAAAAAGCAAAAAGACACTATAACTCATGCGCAAAAATGACTCCTTTTGGCAAACAAAACACACAATAGCATATCCACACTCTCTTCCAGACTACAGCTCCCAGCACCCCCTAGAACAGGCCCTTTAGAAGAGGAGAATGATCCAAATGCACTGCTTCCAAGATGCAAGCTTTCTTCTCCTTGGATTTCTTTGAGAGCATCCCAATCCCTGCATATTTCCATTTCCTATTCCTGAACTGCAACTCCCAGCAATCCTCCAGATAGATAGATTAGATAGAGATAGTAGATAGGTAGGTAGGTAGATTGATTGATCAGGAGGACTGCTGGGAGTTGCAGTCCAAGAATAGGTAGAGAAAGAAGAAAGGGAGAAAGAGGAAGGGAAAAAAAAGGGGGGAAAGGAAGGAAGGGAAGAGGAAAGAAGGAAGAAGGAAGGAAGGAAGGAAGGAAGGAGGAAGAAGGAAGGAAGGAAGAGAAAGAAAGAAGAGAAAGAAGGAGGGAAGGTTGGCCACAGCAACGCGTGGCAGGTACTGCTGGTAATAATAAAAATACCAATAACAACAACAACAACAACAACAATAATGCCATGAAGGTGGAGCACCTGAGAGGATTTGGGAGTAAAAGTTACATGTTTTTAAAAAGCCAACAAAGGAAATGGAAGAAACAATGTTATGTAGCTGTGCCTAGAAATCATATACCCTGTGATTTCCACTTTGTATCTTTTCACTGCATCAGACTAAACATGGTGGCAACTCCCAGACCTAGTTGGAAGGACAGGCAAGATTTGTTCAGATGGGAATCCTAGAACTGGAAGAGACCCCGAGGGCCACCCAATCCACCCCCATTCTGCCAGGCATGAAGACACCACTCAAGCCCTCCCAACAGATGGCATCCAGTCTCTGCTTAACAGTCCCCAGACTCCACCGGGCTCCCAGGCAGCAACAGCATATTCCACTGCTAAATAGCTTTTAGTGTCAGGAGCTTGAGTTTGGTCTTCTGCCTCTGAAGGTGACTTTTGAGTGGAAACACTGACCATTTCTACAAGAAACCGAAGCAGTTCAAAACCAACTTCGGAACTTCAGAAGGGTGTTGTTGTACCTTGGAGATCTTAAGGGGAGCAGAGATGTTGCAAAATGAACTGCACTATGGCTTGTGAATGCAGAAAGAGTTGACCACCACACAATCTTCTTACTGCTGATCCTTTCTGATATATATTTCTCTATGTATCTATAGCTATATCTTTCTCTATAAAAGGATAAGTCTGTCTGTCTATGTGTAGTTGTCTATGAAAACTGTTTGGAAACTTCAATTGGTCCAATGGATGGTAGCCGAATTACTCACCGGAGCGGGGTACAGGGAGCATACAACCACCACCACCCCACCTCCCCCATTATGCCAGCTCCACTGGCTACCAGTCTACTGACAAGCTCAATTCAAAGTGCTGGCTTTAGCCTATAAAGCCCTAAACGGTTCTGGCCAAGCTTACCTGTCCGAACGTATCTCCCTCTATGAACCATCTCGGAGGTTAATAGCATCTGGGGAGGCCCTGCTCTCGGTTCCACCTTCCTCATAAGTGGGACTGATGAGGACGAAAGACAGGGCCTTCTCAGTGGTGGCTCCTCAACTACATTAGATCAACATTAGTGTCTCCTTGTTAAAAACGTTGTCCAGACTCATTGTCTAGTCGTTCCATTTTCCTATGTCAGTTACTCTGCATTTGGAAAAGCTTGTTCAAAAAGTCACATTTTGACTTTTTTCCGGAATGTTAAAAGGCAGGTGGCCAATCTAATATCTATAGGGAGGGCATTCCACAGCTGAGGGGCCACCACCGAGAAGGCCCTGTCTCTCATCCCCGCCAAACGTATTTTTGACGAAGGCGGTAACGAGAGCAGGGCCTCCCCAGACGATCTTAAGGTCCAAGATGGTTATAAGGGGAGATGCGTTCAGACATGTAAGTTGGGCCAGAACTGTTTTTATTATGATGATTATTATAGCCACATTGCAAGTGGAAGGGCTGTAATTTAGGCAGTGCTGCTCTGTGTGGTTATATCAATTTTCAGGTAGTGAAATTCAAGGCCCATGAGGGTTGGATTGTTTTTCCCTTTACAATTCTCGCGTACTATAGTTGATTCTTGTGGAACTGCCTGGGAAACTCGCCGGGCAGCCTTTATTTGTAGGTCGGGAGTGTTTTTCATGCAACACACCTGAGGACTGCAGGCAACACAGTGAAAGCTCTGGTGTAGACAGGTAATGCAGTTGAACTCCATTGAACTCCATGATTTGAGCCTACTACACTGACCATATAGTTCAACACTGCATTACATTTGTTTATTTTTATTTATTTATTTACAGTATTTCAGTATTTACAGTATTTCTGTTCTACCCTTCTCACCCCGCAGGGGACTCAGGGCAGATTACAATGCACATATACATGGCAAACATTCAATGCCATAGACACACAACATGTATAGACAAACACAGAGAGGCTATTTAACATTCCATCTTCATGAGGTATGAGGTATTCTGGCCACCAGGGGAGCTGTCGCTTCACCGTCCACTTGTGACACCGATGGAGTACTTCCTCATTCTTTTGCACACTGCTGGAGATTTGTCCAAACTTGATGCTTTGTTGCAAGATTTAGAGGCTCCCTAGAACCTGGCTGCCTGGCCATCTGTCCAGACAGATTTGGTTGTATACTTGTGCCATCAAACAACAGGGTGCTATTCCTGGGTTATACATGGCTGTTCCTGATTGCTCTTCTTGTGAAAAGATGAACAACATTGACTAGGGGACCACAAATGGCGAGAAAAAAAATATGCCCTCCACACATTTAATGAAGTTTCTGGCACACAAACAAAGCTTTTGCCTTCTATTCAAGTGTCACCTTCTTTTTAGGAACAGACCAATCAGGAACAAATGTTTAAAACCTGGGAACAAACCCAGATAAAGAATCCCATGATTTCCGATTGCTGGGACATACAGACATGCGAAGATCTGCATATTCAGCTCAAAACTGCACCTGGAAATCTTGCAATGTTTGCCTTTTGTAGCGATAGTTTCCACGTTGACAGGGAATGTCATCTGGCCACCTCCTGTTTGCTGTGGAAGCTCCTGGGATAAAGGTACTGTCTGGATGGGCCCTCAATGTAACTGTGTCATCAATTGTTCCATCTGTTTAGCACCCATGGGCCCCGTGCTATCTGTTGTTCTTTTCTTCGAGTTTTTCCTTTGCATTTTTCTTATCTTTTTCAAAATAAATCTTTCTCTTGAGATCAAAAAATGGCTGATTATTGTTAGCTTGTTTTGAAAAAACTGCACACACCAACTTTTTTTTTAAAAAAAGTCATGGGATACTCTGGAGCAGGGGTCCTCAAACTAAGGCCCTTGGGCCAGATGTGGCTTGTTGCACTCCAGACCTAGAAACATCTTTGACCACTGCACCACACAAGAGTCCAGGAATATAAGCAAACAGTTTACTGTAAAAACAGATAGAAGTATATAAAAATCAGGACTAAGGAAGATGATATGTAATCCAAAAAGGTTCAGCAAAAGGTGATAACCAAACAATAATCCAAATGTCTCATAAAGTTCCAAAGGTGACAAAGCCCAGGAACAAGCAGGAAATCACAGATACAGCTGTTGCAACCCAGAGCAGGAAACGAGACCCTAAGATAACAATCCACCACACTTGACTGTGGGGAAAAACAATCCCTTTTTATTGATGAAAAATGGTTACAAAATAGAGGAAAATGCAAAGTCAAAAAGCCACAGTAAAATTCAGCAGTCAGGAAAACTGGTATAGTCTTGCATAGCTTCTTGTCTTGGCAGGGGTGAGTATCTATCACCTTTTTGTGCTTGAGACAAACACTTAAGTCAGTTCTTGTGGGTTTTTTCGGGCTATATGGCCATGTTCTAGAGGCATTTCTCCTGACGTTTCGCCTGCATCTATGCAGACAGGCACCTCACCTCTGAGGAAGCTTGCCATAGATGCAGGCGAAACGTCAGGAGAAATGCCTCTAGAACATGGCCATAGAGCCCGAAAAAACCCACAAGAACTGAGTGATTCCGGCCATGAAAGCCTTCGACAATACATAAACACTTAAGTGATCAGATGCCTTCCATCTGTCAGCCTCCTCCTCCTCTTCACACTTGACAAAAATAATGTGGTTATTTTTCGTTATTTTTCTTTTACTTCTTTTGCCTTCTGCTTGATATTCTTGCAGACCTATGCCTTAGGACAGTGGTTCTCAACCTCCCTAATGCCGCGACCCCTTAATACAGTTCTCTCATGTTGTGGTGACCCCCCAACCATAACATTTTTGTTGCTACTTCACAACTGTAATTTTGCTGCTGTTATGAATCATCATGTAAGTATCTGATATGCAGGATGTATTTTCATTCACTGGACCAAATTCGGCACCAATTCCTTATACGCCCAAATTTGAATTCTAGTGGGTTGAAGGGGAGATTGATGCTGTAATTTGGGAGTTGTAGTTGTTGAGATTTATAGTTCACATACAATCAAAGAGCATTCTGAACTCCACCAACAACTGAATTGAACCAGTCTTGGCACACAGAATTCCTATGACCAACAGTAAATACTGGAAGGGCTTGATAGGCATTGACCTTGAGTTTGGGAGTTGTAGTTCACCTACATCCAGAGAGCACTGTGGACTCAAACAATGATGGATCTGGACCAAACTTGGCATGAATACTCAACATGCCCAAATGTGGATACTGGAGGAGGTTAGAGAAAATAGACCTTGACATTTGGGAGTTGTAGTTCACCTACAATCAAAGCATATTCTGAACTCCATCAATGAGAAAATTGGGCTAAACTTCATACACAGAACCCCCATGACCAATAGAAAATACTGTGTTTTCTGGTGGTCTTTGGCGACCCCTCTGGTACCCCCTGGCGACCCGCCCTAGGGGTCCCGACCCCCAGGTTGAGAAACACTGCCTTAGGATATAAGTCAATTGACTTTCCTAGGTTTTTTTTTTTGTCGTGTCAGGAGCGACTTGACAAGTCGCTTCTGGTGTGAGAGAATTGGCCGTCTGCAAGGACGTTGCCCAGGGGACGCCTGGATGATTTGATATTTCTATCATCCTTGTGGGAGGCTTCTCTCATGTCTCCGCATGAGGAGCTGGAGCTGATAGAGGGAGCTCATCCGCCTCTCCCCGGATTCGAACCTGCGACCTGTCGGTCTTCAGTCCTGCCGGCACAGGAGTTTAACCCACTGCGCCACCGGGGGCTCTACTTTCCTAGGTAAAGATATAGTTTTCCTTGACATTAAGTCTAGTCGTGTCCGACTCTAGGGAGTGGTGCTCATCTCCATTTCTAAGCTGAAGAGCCGGCGTGGTCCGTAGACACATCTAAGTCATGTGGCCAGCATGACTGCATGGAGTGCTGTAACATTCTCGCAGAAGCGATACCGATTGATACCTACAATTCCTAGGATCCCATAGCATTAAGCTCTGGCACTTAAGATGAGGAAGAGAATTGCAGTACTTTGAATTCCTGCCAACCCTCCAGGAAGAGTGTAAATTGCCCCTCAAATGATTTGCTTCCCAATGCTTGCTTTTCATTGCCATCACATCCACTTGGACTTAAGCCATCCCTAGGAATGGGAGACCTCCAGGGATGCAAAGCAAGGGTTAAGATGAGAGAGTCTGCAGGACTTTTGCAAGCAAGAAAAGAGAAGAGAGAGAAGGCGGGTGTTTTGTCAAAAGGATGAAGTCACTTCCCCTCCTTTTCTAAAAGGTGAATAAGGTATGTCTGGTTATGTTCATTCTCTTTTGTCCTCTGGTGCAGCTCTGGCTGGATCTTGCTGCTGCCAAGTCCTTTTGCCAGAAAAACAAAAGAGTGGCATAGAGAAGAGAGGCAGGATTTCCTGGGAGAATTTAAACTGGGGCAGGAAAGGGGCCCTGGGAGAAGGGGGGCATCTACATTGTAGAATGAATGCAGTTTGACTGCTGCGGCTCAATGATAGGGAAACACAGGGGTTGTTGTTCTACCACAGGGTTCCTCAACCTTCCCAATGCCGCAACCCCTTAATACAGTTCCTCATGTGGTGGTGACCCCCAACCATAACATTATTTTAATTGCTACTTCATAACTGCACTTTTGCTACTGTTATGAATTGTGATGTAAATAACTGATGTGCAGGATGTATTTTCATTCACTGGACCAAATTGGGCACAAATGCCTCCTACAGCCAAATTTGGGGGGGGGGGGGTTGATTTTGTATTTGGAAGATTTTGTTGCTGGGATTTATAGTTCACCTACAATCAAAGAGCATTCTGAACTCCACCAATGATGGAATTGAACCAACTTGGCACACAGAACTCCCATGACCGACAGAAAATACTGGAAGGGTTTGGTGGGCATTGACCTTGAGTTTTGGAGTTGTAGTTCACCTACATCCAGAGAGCACTGTGGACTCAAACAATGATGGATCTGGACCAAACTTGGCACGAATACTCAATATGCCCAAATGTGAACACTGGTGGAGTTTGGGGAAAATAGACTTTGACATTTGGGAGTTGTAGTTGCTGGGATTTATAGTTCACCTACAATCAAAGAGCATTCTGAACTCTACCAACAATGGAATTGACCCAAACTTGGCACACATAGAACTCCCATGACCAACAGAAAATACTGGAAGGGTTTGGTGGGCATTGACCTTGAGTTTTGGACTTGTAGTTCACCTACATCCAGAGAGCACTGTGGACTCAAACAATGAAAGATCTGGACCAAACTTGGCATGACTACTCAATATGTCCAAATGTGAACACTGGTGGAGTTTGGGTGAAAATAGAGCTTGACATTTGGGAGTTGTAGTTTCTGTGTGATGTATTGGCGAATAATACGTGCAGATCCCAGTAAGGTTGCCTTCTGCAGCTGGCAGATGGTAATTTTGTCAGCGCCAATTGTGTTTAAGTGCAGGCCAAGGTCTTTAGACTCTGCACCCAGTGTGCCAATCACCACTGGGACCACCTTGATTGGCTTGTGCCAGAGTCTTTACAGTTCAATCTTTAAATCCTCATATCGTGTCAGCTTTTTCAGTTGTTTCTTTTCAACCCTGCTATCACCTGGGATTGTAACATCAACAATCCATACTTTGTTTTTTAACACACTCGTGAGGTCAGGAGTATTGTGCTCCAAAACACTGTCTGTCTGAATCCGGAAGTCCCAGATTAGCTTCACGTGTTCATTCTCTGTAACTTTTTCCAACATGTGATCCCACCAGTTCTTTGTCACAGGCAGATGGTATTTGTGGCACAAGTTCCAATGAATCATCTGAGCAATGGTGTTATGCCTCTGCTTGTAGTCTGTCTGCACTATCTTCTTACAGCAGCTGAGGATGTGATCTATTGTTTTACTTGCTTCCTTGCAGAGTCTACATTTGGGATCTGTCGTCGACTTTTCAATCTGGCTTTGATGGTATTGGTTCTAATGGCTTTTTCTTGGCGTGCCAGAATTAGGCCCTCTGTCTCCTTTTTCAGAGTTCCATTTGTGAGCCACATCCATGTTTTTTCTTTGTCTATTTGGCTCTCAATTTTTTCCAGGAACTGTCCATGGAGAGCCTTCTTTCGCCAGTTTTCGCTTCTGCTCTGGATTGTGTTTTTGCAGTATTCACTCTTTGTCGTTTGCACTTGAAGCAGTTTACTACTCTTGACTTCCCTCAATGTTGGTTCTTGGCGGCCTTTCACAWAATCTGCCAGTGCATGCTTCTCTTCTTCTACCGTTTGTTTCACTTGCAGAAGCCCTCTGCCTCTTGATTTTCTGGGTAGGTAAAGTCTGTCGACATCACTGCGCAGGTGTAATGCATAGTGGATTGTCATAAGTTTTCTTGTTTTTCTGTCCAGATYATCCAGCTCTGCTTKTATCCAGTTCACAATTCCAGCAGTGTATCTAATGATGGGGATGGCCCAGGTGTTGGTAGCCTTGATCGTATTTTCACCATTTCATTTGCTCTTCAAAATCTTTCTGACTCTTTGGATATATTCTTTGCTGACCACATTTTTCACATGCCCATGCTTGATATTGATATTGTTTGTTGTTGTTGTTGTTGTTGTTGTTRTTRTTATTATCCCTGGTGGAGGAATGTCCTGTACAGTAAGAGTTCTGTCCTTAATCCAACAGGTGATGGCGGGCCATTTTCTGAGGAGAAGAACCGAGACGCCTATAAAATGCTCAGAGTGTGGCCAGAGCTTCAATCAGTGGCCCCTCCTTGTGGCTCATGAAAAAACCCACAAGGAAGAGAAGAAGCACTTTGCTTGCAAGGAGTGTGGTCAGAGTTTCATCAAGAAAGCAAGGTTCGTGGCTCACCAGAAGAAACACGCAACACAGAAGGGCCATCGGAGCAAAAATTGTGGGAAGAGGTTCAGTCAGAGGTCCGTCCTTACGGCCCATGAAAAAACCCACAAGGAAGAGAAGAAGCCCTTCGCTTCTGCCAAGCGTGGTAAGACTTCCAAGAAGAAAGCCGGATCTCTGAAGCATCAGTGCAACGAATGTGGCCAGCGCTTCCCCTTCAAGTGCAATCTTGTTCGACACAACAGACAGCACACTGGCGAGAAGCCGTACAAATGCCCCGACTGTAGAAAGCGCTTCCGGACCTCGTCGGCCTTCAATGTTCACCGCCGGATCCACACGGAAGAGAAACCATACTCCTGCGCGACCTGTGGGGCGGCTTTCACTCAGCAAGCCAGCCTTATCGCGCATGAGAGACTTCACACCGGTGAGAAGCCATACAAATGCCCTGACTGTAGAAAGCGCTTCCGGACCTCGTCGGCTTGCAGCGTTCACCGCCGTAGCCATGCGGAAGTGAAACCATACCCCTGTTCGACCTGCGAGAAGGCTTTCTGTCAGCGCTCCAGCCTTATCGTACATGAGAGACTCCACACAGGTGAGAAGCCATATAAGTGTAAGGATTGTCGTAAGAGCTTCGCGGAAAAATCAGCCCTCAAGAAGCATCAAAGGATCCACACGGGAGAGAAGCCATATATCTGTCCCGAGTGTGGGAAGACTTTTTCCCTGAGTTCAGGCCTGGTACAGCATGCAAAGGTCCACACTGGGGAGAAGCCTTATGAATGTGCTTTCTGCCAGAAACGTTTCCGGGACAAATCAGGAGTCGTCTCACACGAGAGAATCCACACTAAGGAGACACCCTTTCAATGCCAGATCTGTCTCAAAAGCTTCAGCCATCGCTCCAACTTAAACAAGCATGAAAGAAATCACTATTAAGCCGAAGACGTTCAACCTCTGTTAAGGTGGAAAGGGCATGGCTTGGAAACTGAATGTCCTTGTGCACGAGAACGAGAAAACGAATTGTTCTGTTCTCCAACAGTGAGAGGAAGTATCCCTATTATCGCTTCTGAATAGTTCCATAGTAGTTAGACTACATTCATCAATAGCTGGAAGATACACTGTTGTAGTTCCTTTGGAAGTTGTGTTGATCATCTGAAGGCTAATATGACCAATCATCTTGTTATAACCTTATACTGTGAAATGTTTTCATGGCTGGAATCACTGGGTTGCTCTGAGTTTTTCGAACTGTATGGCCATGTTCCAGTAGCATTCTCTCCTGACATTTTGCCTATATCTGTGGCCAACATCTTCAGAGGTCTGTTGGAAGGGAGGCAAATGGAGTCTATTTAGGTTGCTGTGAGTTTTTCGGTCTGTATGGCCATGTTCTAGTAGCATACTCTCCTGACATTTCGCCTGCATCTGTGGCCAACATGTTCAGAGGTCAATGATAAAATCATTTCCCTCCCCAACCCTGCAGTATTCGAATGTGGGCGAAATGGGTGTTTGTGCCAAATTTGGTCCAGTGAATGAAAATCCATCCTGCATATCAGATATTTACATTAAGATTCATAACAGTAGCAACATTACAATTAAGAAGTAGCAACAAAAATAATGTTATGGTTGGGGGTCACCGCAAAATGAGGGGCTGTATTAAGGGGTCACAACATTAGTAAGGTTGAAAACCACTGCTATTATCGCTTCTGAATAGTTCCATGGTAGTTAGACTACGTTCATCAATAGCTGGAAGAAAACTGTATACGCTGTTGTAGTTCCTTTGGAAGTTGTGTTGATCATATGAAGGCTAATAAGTTGTGTTGATCATATGAAGGCTAATATGACTAAGCGTCTTGTTATAATATTTATGCCCACCTCCCTCTATTCTTATTGCTCAATTTTGAATTTCCTTTTTTAAAAAAAATTGTGTTAGGGAATTGCACCTAACCCCCAGTGGCGCAATGGGTTAAACCCTTGTGCCGGCAGGACTGAAGACCAACAGGTCGTAGGTTCAAATCTGGGGAGAGCGCGGGTGAGCTCCCTCTGTCAGCTCCAGCTCCCCATGCGGGGACATGAGAGAAGCCTCCCACAAGGATAGTAAAACATCAAAACATCCGGGCGTCCTCTGGGCAACGTCCTTGCAGACGGCCAATTCTCTCACACCAGAAGCAACTTGCAGTTTCTCAAGTCACTCCTGACACGGGGGAAAAAATCTAACCCTTCATGTCTGAAGAGCCCCCGGTGGCACAGCAGGTTAAACTGCTGAGCTACTGAACTTGCTGACAATAAATATTGCCACAATAAAGAATGTAGCTTTTAGCAAAGAAGGGGTGGTGCTCTGCTGGCAGGGAGTCCTTCTTTGGCACAATGAAGCAGTTAATAGGCCTTGTAGGTCCATGGAGTCCCTTGTGGCGCAGTGGGTTAAACTGCTGAGCTGCTGATCTTGCTGACCAGAAGGTCGGTGGTTTGAATCACGTGAGTGGGGTGAGCTCCTTCTGTTAGCCCCAGCTTCTGCAAACCTAGCAGTTTGAAAACAATTGTGAGTAGATCAATAGGTACTGCTTGAGCAGGAAGGTAACGGCATTCCATGCAGTCATGCCAGCCACATGACCTAGGAGGTATCTACAGACAACACCAGCTCTTCGGCTTAGAAATGGAGATGAGCACCACCTTTCAGAGTCTGACACGACTGGACTCAATGTCAAGGGGAAACCTTTACCTTTACTTCATGTCTGAATGCAAATAATTCAGGTGATACAGGAAAGGAGATTCCATCTGAACATGAGGAAGAACTTCCTGACTGTGAGAGCTGTTCAGCAGTGGAACTCTCTGCCCTGGAGTGTGGTGGAGGCACCTTCTTTGGAGGCTTTTAAACAGAGGCTGGATGGCCATCTGTCAGAGGTGCTTTGAATGTGATTTTCCTGCTTCTTGACAGAATCGGGTTGGACTGGATGGTCCATGAGGTCTCTTCTGATTTTTGTTTTGCCTTTTGTCGTGATTTTTGTTTTGCCTTTTGCTTCATATTCTTGGAGACTTATGCCTTAGGATGCTGTTTAAGGAATTTACCTAATAGTCATTCTGTGTCAATTATGTACCCCACCCCGTTTCCCTGAAAAATAAGACAATGTCATATATTAATTTTTGCTCTCAAAGGTGCGCTAGGTCTTATTTTCAGGGGATGTCTTGTTTTTATGTATTTATTTATTTATTTCCAACATTTCTACCCCGTCCTTCTCAACCCCTGACGGGGGACTCAGGACAGCTTCCAACAACAGCAATTCGATGCCGACGACATACAAGATACAAAATACATTACAACAACATTATTCAAGAAATAAAATATTAGAATAAAATACATTAAAACATTATTATTCATCAAGTAGCCAGATCTGGATCTAATTTAGCAACCGACGACTCAGTCCAAAGCCTGTCCATGTCAAAGTTCAAACATTGTGAATACTGCCAAACCTACTGTCCGAATGCCTGGTCCCAAAACCCTGTTTTGAGCTTCTTTCTAAAAGAGAGGAGGGATGAAGCCGACCTAATTTCGCTAGGGAGAGCATTCCACAGCTGGGGGGAGGGGGCACCACCAAGAAGGCCCTGTTCCTCGTCCCCACCGAACACGCTTGCAAAGAGGGCAGTACTGAGAGTAGGTGTACTTCACTGTCTTAACTTTCACAGACATACACAGAAATAGGAAATACTATGGCCTGAATGATTCTGACTTCATGATTTAGGGGGTTGGACTGTATGGCCCACAAGGTCTCTTCCAACTCTATGATTCTAAGAACTTCCTAACTGTGAGAGCTGTTCAGCAGTGGAACTCTCTGCTCCATAGTGTGGTGGAAGCTCCTTCTTTGGTGCCTTTTAAGCAGAGGCTGGAAGGACGTCTGTCAGGGGTGCTTTGAATACAACATTCCTGCTTCTTGGCAGGGGCTTGGACTGGATGGCCCATGAGGTCTCTTCCAACTCATGATGGTCTATGTAGGGCCTCTTCAGATGATCTTAGGACACGGAACAATGGCTTCAAACTACAAGAGAGGAGATTCCATCTGAACACGAGGAAGAACTTCCTGACTGTGAGAGCCGTTCAGCAGTGGAACTCTCTGCCCTGGAGTGTGGTGGAGGCTCCTTCTTTGGAAGCTTTTAAACAGAGGCTGGATGGCCATCTGTCAGGGGTGATTTGAATGCAACATTCCTGCTTCTTGGCAGGGGGTTGGACTGGATGGCCCATGAGGTCTCTTCCAACTCATGATGGTCTATGTAGGGCCTCTTTAGACGATCTTAAATTCCGAGACGGGACGTAGAGGGAGATATGTTTGGACAGGTAAGCTGGGCTGGAACTGTATAGGACTTTATAGGCCAAGACTAACACTTTGAATTGTGCTCGGAAGTGGACCAGCAGCCAATTTTTCCATGAAGAAAAATTAATATTTATTGTTGAACAAAAAAATGAACATTTGTTATATTCTGTACAATAGTTGTCTAGTTGTCATCACAAACCAGAAAAGCAGACACCCCCTAAAGAATCAAAGTGACACACTGGTTGCCTGACTCACACACAGTTTCACAAATACTGTAAAATACCTGGCTCCCACACACTGTCTAGAGACCGTAAGATCTCCCATAGCAGTTCCTGGACCACTTGTACAGCAGGGATGATATTGAGACTTCTGGCCACCAGGGAGAGCTCAAAAACTTTGCTAAGTCTTACTTTTGAGGGGCGGGGGAGACCTTATATTTAGCAATTCAGCAAAACCTCTACTAGTCTTAATTTCAGGGGATGTCTTATTTTCGGGGAAATGGTGTTGTTCATTTGTTCAGTTGTTTCCTACTCTTCATGACTTCATGGACCAGTCCATGCCAGAGCTCCCTGTCGGTCATCACCACCCCCAACACCTTCAAGGTCAATCTAGTCACTTTGAGGACATCCAACTCCAAATTGGGAAACAAGTCATACAGGAATACCTGGCCGCTCTTAATGAGTTCAAGTCCCCAGGGCCAGATCAACTACACCCAAGAGTATTGAAGGAACTAGCGGAAGTCATTTCGGAACCATTGGCAACCAACTTTGAGAGTTCTTGGAGAACGGGAGAAGTTCCAGCAGATTGGAGGAGGGCCAATGTGGTCCCAATCTTCAAGAAGGGAAAAAAGGATGACCCAAACAACTACCGTCCGATCAGCCTCACGTCGATACCAGGCAAGATTCTGGAAAAGATTGTTAAGGAAGTGGTCTGCAAACACTTAGAAACAAATGCGGTCATGCTAATAGTGAACATGGATTTATCAAAAACAAGTCATGCCAGACTAATCTGATCTCTTTTTTCGATAGAGTTACAAGCTGGGTAGATGCGGGGAATGCCGTGGATGTAGCGTACCTGGATTTCAGTAAGGCCTTCGACAAGGTCCCCCATGACCTTCTGGCAAGGAAACTAGTCCAATGTGGGCTAGGCAAAACTACGGTGAGGTGGATCTGTAATTGGTTAAATGGACGAACCTAGAGGGTGCTCACCAATGCTTCCTCTTCATCCTGGAAAGAAATGACGAGCGGAGTGCCGCAGGGTTCCGTCCTGGGCCCGGTCCTGTTCAACATCTTTATTAATGACTTAGATGAAGGGTTAGAAGGCAGGATCATCAAGTTTGCAGACGACACCAAATTGGGAGGGATAGCCAATACTCCAGAGGACAGGAGCAGGATTCAAAACGATCTTGACAGATTAGAGAGATGGGCCAAAACTAACAAAATGAAGTTCAACAGTGACAAATGCAAGATACTCCACTTTGGCAGGAAAAACGAAATGCAAAGATACAGAATGGGGGATGCCTGGCTCGAGAGCAGTACGTGTGAAAAAGATCTTGTAGTCCTCGTGGACAACAAGTTAAACATGAGCCAACAATGTGATGTGGCGGCAAAAAAAGCCAATGGGATTTTGGCCTGCATCAATAGGAGCATAGTGTCTAGATCTAGGGAAGTAATGCTACCCCTCTATTCTGTTTTGGTTAGACCACATCTGGAATATTGTGTCCAGTTCTGGGCACCACAATTCAGGAGAGATATTGACAAGCTGGAATGTGTCCAGAGGAGAGCGACTAAAATGATAAAAGGTCTGGAGAACAAGCCCTATGAGGAGCGGCTTAAGGAGCTGGGCATGTTTAGCCTGAAGAAGAGAAGGCTGAGAGGAGATATGATAGCCATGTATAAATATGTGAGAGGAAGCCACAGGGAGGAGGGAGCAAGCTTGTTTTCTGCTTCCTGGAGACTAGGACGCGGAACAATGGCTTCAAACTACAAGAGAGGAGATTCCATCTGAACATGAGAAGAACTTCCTGACTGTGAGAGCCGTTCAGCAGTGGAACTCTCTGCCCGAGTGTGGTGGAGGCTCCTTCTTTGGAAGCTTTTAAACAGAGGCTGGATGGCCATCTGTCAGGGGTGATTTGAATGCAATATTCCTGCTTCTTGGCAGGGGGTTGGACTGGATGGCCCATGAGGTCTCTTCCAACTCTGATTCTATGATTCTATGATTCTGTGATCCATCCATCTTGCACTTGGTCGGCACCTCTTCCTTTTTCCTTCCATTTTCCCCAGCATCAGTGTCTTCTCTAGACTTTCCTTTCTTCTCATGATGTGGCCAAAGTACTTCATCTTGGCCTCTACTATTCTTCTATCCAATGAGCAGTCAGGCTTTATTTTTTGAAGTATGGACTGGTTGGATCTTCTCGCTGTCCAAGGCACTCTCAGAACTTTCCTCCAACACCACAGTTCAAAAGCATCTATCTTTGCTCAGCCTTCTCTATGGTCCAGGGTACAAGCAACCTTTTCATTAATATATTGTACTTTTTCTTTGTAAACTGGGTATTCGAATCAGTTAATTCAAGGACCTAAGGAGTTCTCCATGGCTGAAGTTGCTTTAGTTCACACTTCATTGATATAACAACAGCAGCAGCAACTTTATTATTGTATCCTGACACCATCTCCCCGAAGGGATTTGGGGTAGTTTACAGAAGGCACAAGATTCCTAGCAAGCAAAACATAAAATAAACACAATATAAAATACTATTGAATAAAACATATAAGCATGTGTTTTGAATGCAATTTTCCTGCTTCTTGGCAGGGGGTTGGACTAGATGGACCACAACGTCTCTTCCAACTCAATGATTCTATGTAAATATTTATATCTGTCCGGTTCTATAGGTTTCTGGTGAAGAAATTACCTCACAAACAAAGTTGGAAGGCTTTAATTCAAAAGCATGCATTAGGGAATGCAACAAAATTACAACTGACAGTTTATTTCCCTCACACCCCACTCTGGCCCCTCCCCTTCATTGCTCCCATTTCCATGGCAACCCTCTCCCAGATTTCAAATATACATAGGATATATTTGAAATCTAAGGCATGGTCTAATTTCCTGGCTTCACACAAAACCAGGAAATAAGCTCATGACAATATCCAAACCAAAATCAGCAGGCGGAATGCAGAAAATCCAATGACATTATGCAAAGGACCTTGCAGTATCATCAAGGCTGGGTGAGTTAGTGCTACATGATCCCATTTTACACTTATCTAGGACAGAGTTTTTCAGACTTTTTCTGTCACTGGGGGAGGGGGGGAATATCTCCCAACTTTGCCCACCAGATTTCAAAATGTCAAGGTCTATTTTCCCCAAACGGCATCAGTGTTCACATTTGGGCATATTGAGTATTCGTGCCAAGTTTGGTCCAGATCTATCGTTTGAGTACACAGTGCTCTCTGGATGTAGGTGAACTACAAGTCCAAAACTCAAGGTCAATGCCCACCAGACCCTTCCAGTATTTTCTGTTGGTCATGGGAGTTCTGTGTGCCAAGTCTGGTTCGATTCCATCGTTGGTGGAGTTCAAAATGTATGGCGAGAGCACTAGGGAAGGCCAAAACTAACAAAATGAAGTTCAACAGTGACAAATGCAAGGCACTCCACTTAGGCAGAAAAAATGAAATGCAAAGATACAGAATGGGGGACGATGAGAGCAGTATGTGTGAAAAAGATCTTGGAGTCCTTGTGGATAACAAGTTAAACATGAGCCAACAATTTGATGTGGTGGCAAAAAAAGCCAATGGGATTTTGGCCTGCATCAATAGGAGCATAGTGTCTAGATCTAAGGAAGTCATGCTACCCCTGTATTCTGCTTCGGTTAGACCACACCTGGAATATTGTGTCCAATTCTGGGCACCACAATTCAAGAGAGATATTGACAAGCTGGAATGTGTCCAGAGGAGGGCGACTAAAATGATCAAGGGTCTGGAGAACAAGCCCTATGAGGAGCGGCTTAAGGAGCTGGGCATGTTTAGCCTGAAGAAGAGAAGGCTGAGAGGAGATATGATAGCCATGTATAAATATGTGAGAGGAAGCCA